AAAAAAAAAAAAAAAAAGCACTGGTTGAAGATTTTGACTAATATCAACTAATATATTTATGAACAAATTTAACCCTATCTATGAGATGCGATTCTTTGACTAATACTGGCCTTTCTACATTTGGCCAATATTAGTCAATTTGGAGAGGCTGACTTTGACAGTATTTGGTACTTCAAGACAGGCACATGTGAAAGAGTCAAGGATAAAGAACAGCACTCACTGGAGGGATTCATGTTACAGCCACATCACAGATCAAATCCAGAACATGAACATTTTCCTCTTGCTTTCCTATCTGCCATGCCAAAAGCCATCTAGCAAATAAGAAAATGAGACCTGACGTTGCACAGTTCTACATTAGAATGATGAGCATCCTAATCCAAGCAGAGTCCTGGGAGGAGTGAGGTTATCAAGACTATTTTGGGGCATTAATGACCATGTCTTACAAATACTTGAAAGGAAAAGCAGTTTGCGATTGCTAACAAGTAAAGAAACAGCATAGCCCAAAATAAATAACTTCAAGGGCACAGAGACATCTTACTGGCCTAATACAGACCCACCCTGATGGCTGTTGTTACCCTATTCTGGCATTTGCTTCTTACTTTCTTACATTGTTGGCCTTGCTGATTCTCATAAGAAGACTTAGGCAGTTGCTTCCCTGTGGGCTATACAGCAATTTTCCAGTTCTATGACTCAGAAAGAGCAAGAGAAGGAAGGGTTCTCCTCTTCCATCCCTAGATAAAATCAGAAAATGTTTATTTTAGCTCCGGTAAAGCAAGGCTCAGTTAGTTAATTCACTGCACAGACTTTCACAACTTTTTTGTTCTTTCAAGTCAAATATTTACCAAGAGCTCAGTATATGCAAGTCACAGGTTATTATCTATCCAAAGCCAATGCATGAATTATATTTATCAGTTCCATGCTTTCTTCCTCTACCTCCCTAATAACAAAGTCAAATATTTTAAAGAAAAAAAAAACATGTCTCACAAGGTTTGCAATTAAACTTTTTGTGCCATGGGCACCTGGGTGGCTCCATCAGTTAAGGGACTCACTCTTGATTCCACCTCAGGTCAGGATGTCAGGTTTGCATGGAGCACGTGGCTCTGTACTGACAGCGTGGAGCGGGCTTGGGATTCTTTCTCTCCCCGTCTCTCTCTCTCTCTCTCTGCCCCTCAAAATAAATAAATACACTTAAAAAGAAAAAAAAAAAA